TATGTGAGCGTATGAAAATTTACGAGATGCTTATTATTAACTTTTTGAAGTTCGAACATTAAAGAATTTAGTTAAAATACAATTAATCTTTTTATAGGGCCTCAATTTTATTTCCGCACCATGCCTTTAATATTTTATCGAACTTTAATAACTTTAATCGTATTTAATAATATCCATAACTTTGGGCTTTTTGTGATTTTCCATAGAATATATTAGGCCGGTTCAAAAGACTGAATCGAATATTGAGATACGAATCGGCAATTCCAATGAATTTTCACTAGTAGCTATGCCACTACCAACAAACTACAAGTTTACAAACTCATCTGACATTAAAGGAAAATAAGTATGTAAACTAAATATTGAATATTACAATATTCAAGTGATAAAACTTTCTACCTGGACACGTAATTCATATATTATTTATACATTATAAAATTTTAAAAGTATAAATATAAAACAAAAGATACTACGTGTAACACTTTTATTTTCGATATATATATATATATATATATATATATATATATATATATATATATATATATATATATATATATATATATATATATATATATATATAACTAAATATTGAATATTACAATATTCAAGTGATAAAACTTTCTACCTGGACACGTAATTCATATATTATTTATACATTATAAAATTTTAAAAGTATAAATATAAAACAAAAGATACTACCTGTAACACTTTTATTTTCGATATATATATATATATATATATATATATATATATATATATATATATATATATATATATATATATATATATATATATATATATATATATATATATATATATATATCTTTACTATCTTATAAAAGAAATCTAACTATTTCTAAAAATAGATTGATTATAATAATATTATTTTTTTAAGACGTCCAAATGATAAAGCTGATAGTACAAGTAACCATTAATAAAATAATATTAAATTTTAACCACATTTTGAATTCAAATATTTATCATCAAATCTCCTTATATTTCTCAACAATTTGATATGGTTTCCTCAAATCCCGGATTCATTCAAATTTTGAACCCTTTTAGATATCCTTAAATTTAGCATGTTGATTCAAATATCCCTCCAATCGCATATACCTCTTTGTTCCCTCCTCTGCTATAAAGTCCACCGTCCAGGAACAAAAAATGACTTCATCTCCCAAATAACATCATAGTTTGATTATTTTGTCTTCGACATGTACTTTCTTTTGTAAAATAACATTTTTGTAGAGAAAACATATCACCAAAAGAATTTACACGCCCCGCCGCTTTGCGCGGGTACACTGCTAGTATATATATATATATATATATATATATATATATATATATATATATATACTACTTATAAAAGAAATCTAACTATTTCTATAAATAGATTGAATATAATAATATTATTTTTTTAAGACGTCCAAACTATTAAGCTTGAAGTACAACCCATTTATAATATAATAATATTAAAACTTTAACCATATCCTTTATCCCTTAAAAATCTCGTATCAAATTAATAGAAGAATTCATTTGCAAATTGAACCCGTCAATCTCAACACTTCAACCATTTGAAGCGGTCAATGTCAACAATTTATAGAGGATCTATTCTCTCACATTGGTAACAAACAATCTCATAATATCTATCTTCGTAATCCCTTCAAAGTAAGAAATATACGCACACTCTCTCGAAGAACCCTAACCAGTAACCAAGACAGTATAACCACCACCACCACAGCCGCTCTGCCTCCTTTCGCCTTCAATCAACCACTATCACGACTACCGCCCTTCCTCTCACCCACGACATGAACTTTCTTTTGGAACATAAAAGTTTTCTTTAAAAAAATATCGTTGAAAGAAGCTATTTGTCCCCGCCGCTGTGCGCGGGTAACGGCTAGTATATATATATATATATATATATATATATATATATATATATATATATATATATATATATATATCCTATCTTAATAAAAAAAATCTTTTGATGATATGTCACTCTCACCATTCATTTTCAATTTATTGTTAAATTACTTCAATACCCTTGATTATTTTAAATTTTGTATTACTTAATTGCATATCCTCCTATCTTAAATCAATTTTCATTTGACTATTTTAATTTTAATTTGAATTTACGTTGAAAAATGTTGGAATATATGGTAAGTTTTAAATGCAATTCAAAACCAACCATATCATTGATTCTCTTTACTATTCCATTTTTATTTTTATTATGTTTATCAAATGGTTATGCATGCTTCTTTAGTTTCATACTTTCATTTGACCGCCTTTCTCATCTTTCTCGGTTGTCGTTTTCTTGATCTTCATTATTACAAGTATCTTTCGATTAATTTCTTTATAATACATGATCTCTTCACAAGATGTATCTTTGGATAAGATTGCATTACGTAATTTAGTTTCTTGGTGAGTTGAAGTTGATTGTTGGTGGATTTGTCAAGGACATGGTACGTATTATATAAACCGATTTCATAATTTGAAATTGCTTTTGAATAACAATCTGGTTATATTTTAGATGAAGTAAAGGATGTATATTATCTAACCATTTGAGTACATGGTTTTTTAAGGATTATCGGCTGATCTCAAATTAGTTATGGTGATGTCATACAACATGCTTACAACAAATAGTCCATCCACATCCTCACATATCGATTTCCCAAAATGATTTAATTCCAAATTAAAGACTCCTTAACCAATCAAAAGCACCAAGCATATCAAGTCAATCCACATCTTCCGTGTCCAAAAACTTTGTTAACATTGCCTACAAAAGATAAGGTTGCATCGACTATTATGTTGTCTTCGTGGGTAAATAAAGGCACTGAACCAAAGGAGACTTGATAAGTAGTTTAATCAAATGTCTGGTAAGGATCTTATGGTTTAGAACATCATGAAATTTTAGTACATCATTATAATACTTGTTGTTGAACATCATGATCCGCTTACATGGTTTTGGTTTATGAATAAGATTACCCCCTCCAAAACATTGAAAGTAAGTTGTTTGACTTTCAAAGGTCAAATATAAACTTTTTTTTTTACCTATTATGCAACTGTATGTGCGTTATGTGTGTGTGATCATTGCATCATACCAGGTGTTTTGGTGTTTTGCATGTTACTTTAATTTTTTTTTTTTCTTTTAAAAAGTAATTTGGCATACTTGGTATTACAATTTAAGTTCAGTCCTATTTAACTTTGGATTTTGACATTCGATATTTATTAGAGAGTAAACTGCACAAATGGTCCCTGTGGTTTACACAAAATTGCCACTTTGGTCCAAAAACGTTTTGGCTAGCACCACAAGTCCAAAGTTTCCATTTTCTTGCATATTTGGTCCAATGGGTTAACTTCCGTTTGTTTCCCTCTGTTAAGTTATGTTTGACTAGTCAAATCAGGGGTATTTTGGTCATTCCCTATTTATGCCCTTTATTTTATATTAATAAAGGAGAGTAATAAGAACGAATCCCAATCCATCTTCTTTGTCGTCGTTCTCATTTTGATCTTCTGCAACTCTCCGACCGATTTCTTCAAGAAATCAAAATAAAAAATGGTGCTTTGTTTTTGTGGTAAAATGGCCATAGTTCGCACAGCATGGACTGATAAAAATCCAGGTAGACGCTTCTGGGGATGCCCTACTGAGGTACGCATTTTGTTTTTTTTTTTTGGATTTCAGTATAAATCTCCCATTAGATGTTACGATCTTCTTTTGATTCTTAAATTTTGAAGGGATCCAAATGTCGATTTATTGGGTGGTTTGATGGTCCAATTTGTGAACGTTCAAAAGCTATTATACCTGGGCTGCTGAGGTCAATCAACAAAGTGAAGTCACAAAACACAAGACTCAAGTGTTACCTGTTATGCAGTTGGGTGTTGTTCGTGTTTGTTCTGGTTTATAAGAAGTAGATTGAAGTGTAATGGTTTGGGTGGTTTGTAAGTGTAATGGTTTGGCTGGTTTCTAAGCAGTATATTGAAATGTAATGGTTTGGGTAGTGTTTTAAGGTTTTTGGTAGTATCTTGTTTAAGCAATGTAATCTTTTGGGCAATACTTTGTGGTAGTCTTTTTTGGTTATAATGTAAGCAATGTAAGACATGTTTTGCAGCAATTTGTCAATGGTGATTATATTTGGTATGTACATTTTGACCAATTTATTTTGTTTGTGGTGTTGTTTAAAAGGGCATTAGTCAATTTATATTGGGCAATTTTGTGTAAACCACAGGACCATGTGTGCAGTTTTGTCTTGTGGTTTTGTTTAAAAGGGTATATTGGTCTATTTATTTTGTATATGGTTTACACATTATCAATAACAAATGTATGTTTTGATTAAAAGGGCATATTGGTCTATTTATTTTGTATGTGGTTTACACATTATCAATGAAAATTGTATGTTTTGTTTAAAAGGGCATATTGGTCAATTTATATTGGGCAAATTTGTGTAAACCACAGGACCATGTGTGCAGTTTTGTCTTGTGGTTTTTTTTAAAAGGGCATATTGGTCTATTTATTTTGTATATGGACAAATGTATGTTTTGATTAAAAGGGCATATTGGTCAATTTATATTGGGCAATTTTGTGTAAACCATAAGACCATGTGTGCAGTTTTGTCTTGTGGTTTTGTTTAAAAGGGCATATTGGTCTATTTATTTTGTATATGGACAAATGTATGTTTTGATTAAAAGGGCATATTGATCAATTTATTTTGTATGTAGTTTACACATTATCAATGACAAATGTATGTTTTGTTTAAAAGGGTATACTGGTCAACTTCTACAACAAAAAATTATACATTACAATAACATCAAGACATCATTACATTAAATCCAGTGTAAATTGTTCCCATACATCACAGGGGTACACTATCAAGTACCAAAAGTAACATCCAAAATGGTTAAACCCCAAAACACAGAAAGTACTAAACATACAATACACATAAACATAACATTATCCCAAAAAGACACTTATACCCCTACAAACATCAAAATCCCTTGAAATCCAATCACTTACCCCCTTGGCCTTTGCAAGTTCTAGCATTGTGCCCTTTAATTTTACACTTGCTGCAGGTTACTTGGATAAACTTTCTTGTAAGCTTTCCACTCCTACTAGCAATATTGCTTTGACTCCCACTACCACTAGCAACATTGTCTCCCTTCTTCTGGCTTTTCTCCTCAGCAGAGTGCCTCCTCTTTTTCTTTGGCCTTCCAGGCTGATTTTTGTGTATAGGAGGGGTGATTTTAATTGGGCATTCACTTATAGGCCACATTGCTCGACCTTTAATAGGCTCTACTTTGTACACATAAGCTGCTTTCCATGTTTCTAGCCAGTGCACCCTGTGGGCATAAGTGTGCAGTTCTCCAACTTCCTCACCATTATCTGCTTTGTCATTTAGGACTGCAATGACATGCTTACAAGGGAGTCCTGTTAATTCCCACTTCCTACAACTGCATACTCTTTCAACCATATCAACAACATGTTGATCCTGCCATGGCCCTTGCACTTGGTATTTATCTGACCCATTCCACCTAACTGTGTACTGAGATGCCCAATTCACATTCTTCTCCATGATCTTTGTTGCAGATGGGGTTAGTGGACCAACACACTTCTTTTGAACCTTTATGACATTGCATATTCTTTTCATCATATACTCCCTAATGTACTCCAAGCAGGATATCAGTGGCTTGTCCCTTCCCTCAATCAATTTGCTATTAAAAACTTCACAAAGATTATTTAGAAGCATATCTGAAACTGCTCTGCCTGAAAACACCACAATATTGTCAGGATCAAACATATACTAATACAAAAGGATCAAACATATACCAACACAAAAGGGTAAATTTGGAAGTTGAAGTATATACCTGTGAAGTGGCTTCTTGCCCAATGTTGTGGGGGAATCTGCTTCAACCAATTATAAGCTTCTACATCATATGAGCTGAATTGATGCATCCTATGATTAAACTCTGGTACTGTTGTTGCTGTAGCACAATTCCACAAGTGTTCTTTGTACTCATTAGTTCTCCATGTTTTTCTCATATTGTCATGTATATGCCTAAGGCAAAACCTGTGCTCAGCACATGGGAACAACTGAGAAATGGCAGTCTGCAATCCCTGTAAAGGAATTAAAACATAGTTAATATAGCACATCCAAATATGTCAAATATAAACAACAAATTACAAACCTTTTGTCTGTCACTTATAAATGTGAAGTTTGAGTTTGCATGTAGGTCCAGATCATCTGCAATACACTCTAGAAACCACTTCCAACTGTCAGTGTTCTCAGTCTCAACAATGGCATAAGCTAGGGGGTATATTCCATTGTTGGAGTCTACCCCAACTGCAGTTAAAATTTGTCCTGGGAAAGGGCCCTTCATAAATGCCCCATCAAAACCTAGAAAATCCCTCAGGCAAGCTCTAAAGCCCTTTTTCATTCCACCCAAACACACGTACATCCTTTTAAACCTTCTTGAGGTAGCACTTAGGTTGGGTTCTGAATCAAACTCTAACTTCACAGTGGTTTCTGGATTAGTAGACTGCAACTCCAGGATGTAATCTCTAAGAACATCATATTGCTTTTTGTAATCACCCTGGACAAGTTTTTTTGCAGTTGATTTGGCCCTGAATACCTTGTGAATAGAGAATCCAACTTGATAATCCTTTTGAAGTTGTTCTTGAAGAGCTCTGACTGGGATTGTTGGGTTGGATTCAATCTGGTCCATTATCTGCTTAGAGATAAACTTTGCTGTTGCAGATCTAACTTTTCTTGTCTGGAGGCATTTATGTTCGTGGTTGTAAGTTTTTATGAACCAATTACTATTTACATCTGACCTAGAACCTTGTATCACCCAAGGACAAGGGGTAGGTTCACTGACATGACCATCATTAAAGGCCACAGTTCCTTTACAGATTGCCCTTAACCTCATTTTGTCGTTTTTCACAAAGAATATATTCCTTCTTGTTTCCAGTGCATGCAATTGTATCTTTTCCTTTAACTCCTTCTTATTTTTATATTTTTGTCCTATCCTAAAAGTTACCTTGTGTATCTCACCTTGAGAGCACCTAGTCTCCTTCCCCAATTCCTTTATTACAGCTCTTCTTTTCCTATCTATATCAGAACCCTCATCCAATGAATCCCATTGATCATTATCTATAACACCCAACTCTTCATTGACCTCATCACTGTCATTCTCTCTATGCTTTGGTAATCTTTTTTCAAGAAATTCTGCTTCAAGATCTATATTCATGTAAAAATCCCTCATGTCTACTTCTACATCAGGGATGATGTTGTCTTCATCCACCCAGAAATCACTATCATCACTGTCCTCACTCTCATCACTTCTTTCAGTATTGTCTTCATCAATCTCTATGTTATCTTCACTTCCATCATCAACTGCAAAATCTCTCATCTCTACATTCTCATCATTCATTTCATTTCTGTCATGATTCTCTTCTTCAGTGACTTCCTTATTAACTGTATTTTCCTCACCTTCATGAACCTCATCATCTACATTCTGTTCATTAGACTGTAAAATCTGTTGGTACAATCCAATATCAAAGTCATTAGCTGCCTCATCAAATTCATTAAATCCCTGGTTAATATCATTACATGCCTCATGAAATTCATTAAAATCCCGGTTAATATCATTACATTCCTCATCAAATTCATTAAATCCGTGGTCAATTTCATTATCTGCATCATCCTTATTCCCACCAATCCTATCAACACTAACATCATCCATCACCAATTTCTTAATACATGATGATAATGGTTTGTCCTTGATAAATTCCCTTTTTTTATTATATTCAGGGGATATTGACAAGGCTAAAGCAGCTTCATTTGCTATCACAGGTGGTATGCATGTTTGTGGCATGCCACTGGGTTGGTTATTAGTTGGTGGGGTTTGATGTTCATCGATCTCCTCTAATTGCTCAATAATAACTTTTCTTACAGGTTTAGGAGCCATAAAGTAAGTAAGCAAGTTAGTAATACCATGCTCGGTGTAAACCCTTATCAGTTTATGCTCCTTCACATACTGGGAAAGATTGAGGACATCATCATCATTTCCCAGGGCCCGTAGCCCAAAATGCATGTCTCCCTTTGGCACTCGAAAATGATAGTAGATAACCGGAGGAACTGAGTATCCTAACCCTTTCATAATCGCATCCATCTCGTGAATAGAAAACTCTTCTATATCCACCATATCTACATACGTCACAGTACCCTCAATGTAGTTGACATTTGGAAACTTTGTGAACTCACCTCCATGATGTAGCTTGATGGTAAACAATGTAGGGTGTCCATCTTCAACACAAGAGCAAAAAAAAAAGTTCAGAAGGTATGATTTCTTGTAAGAAAATCAACAAAATGATCAAAAACAAAATTACGTACCATAAACCACCCTTGGGTCGAATGACGTGCTTGACAACCTTAAGTGCCACATTGGTATATGCATTCACTACGAAACTCGCCTGATTGAAGCTATCAACCTTGTTAATCAGTTTAGGGTTCTTGATCCTCAGTCAATGAGGAGGGAAATTGTATCGACTCACGGTTTTTAAGGACTATAAATGTGAATTAGGCTCGATATTATCCGTATGGCAATGCATACATACGAACTCTCCTTTATTAATATAAAATAAAGGGCATAAATAGGGAATGACCAAAATACCCCTAATTTGACTAGTCAAACATAACTTAACAGAGAGAAACAAACGGAAGTTAACCCATTGGACCAAATATGCAAGAAAATGGAAACTTTGGACTTGTGGTGCTAGCCAAAACGTTTTTGGACCAAAGTGGCAATTTTGTGTAAACCACAGGGACCATTTGTGCAGTTTAGTCTTTATTAGACATCAAACTTGTACATTGTATGAAATATACATTTCTTTGTAGTATAGCATTCTAATTTTATTTTTCTATTATCTTATTATATTTTCTTTATTAAGGCAATGTAGTATTGATTGTGATTTCAAACTTCCATTTTAAAAATTAGCCTAAAGGCCACCATATTTTCAAATAAGTATATATTAATTTTAAACATCAACACAAAAGTTTAAAAAAGAAAAACTTCAATCTTATTAATTTAATAAAAATTTAAATTTAAATTTTTTTTACCCGTGGTTCCCACGGGTGGTAACCTAGTGTATATATATATATATATATATATATATATATATATATATATATATATATATATATATATATATAATACTAATAAAGAGTAGTTATTTTGTCATGTATCACTATATTAGATATTTTAATTAATATGGTGTCAGTTATCAATCTATTAGTTCTCCATTTTAAATTTATTAGATCTATTAATTAATGTGATGTTATTTATCAATGTAATTATTTTTCATTTTAAATTTTAAATTTTATATTATTGTTTTCATTAATTCACAAATAAAAAATGTCTAATATATATTAAAAATTAATTATATATATTTATTTAAATCAATGATTATAATTTCACATAACTAATAAAAATATATGGTAATTACTAATTTATTTAAAATAAATAATTAATAATTTTGAGATTTTACTATAAAAGTTTAATTAATTTTATAATCATGGTTTCCACGGGTTATAAACTAGGACTCTAATAAATAAAGATTTATTTTGCCACATGTCAATCACTTATAAGTTTTGATACTTTTCATTTTATGATAGTTTCGAAATAAATAACATTCACATGTCAATTTCTAGGTTTTTTTTTTAATTTTTAAAATTAAAAAGTTACATAATACATATAATTATATAAGTATTAAATGTAATAAATATGATCATAAATTGCAATAAATATGTTTTTGTCTTTTTTATTTTAAAATTTAATTTAAAAAATACTTAATGTTTAAATTTTGGTATTTAATTTTTTTTATAATTCATGTAATACATGGGTCTCCCACCTAGTGTGTGTGTGTGTGTGTATATATATATATATATATATATATATATATATATCGATGTTGGCTATCGATTATTTAATTTTATAAACTCTTAGCTTTTATCATTTTTACTGTTATTGTTTATGTTTAGATAGTTAGAGGTACTGTAATTTAACATTTAGTTAGTTAGCAGAGGTTTAATTTGTTAGAGAGACTCATATATGCATATATTTGTTTTCTTCCTTGTAATGGGGAGTTAATCAATACATTAAGATTGAAAATCATATATATATATATATATATATATATATATATATATATATATATATATATCTTTCTCTCTCTCTCTCTCAAATCTTTAGTGTTAATATGGTATCAAATTAATGATCTGATCATCATCTTCATTTGTTCTTTTTCCGCATTCATCTTCAATATGTTTCAGTCCATTTTTCATATTCAATCACGTCATAATTTAAGATAATTCAAGCAATTCTACTGTAATTTCTGTTTCTAATCCTTTTTTTTACCTTGGATCATCTAATAATCCAAGCTTTGTTCTTGTCACCAATGTCTTCAATGTCATCATATTTAATGCTTGGAAACGAGCAATGGTTATTGCTCTGTCTACAAAGAATAAATTAGGTCTTGTTGATGGTACGCATCCTCAACCTGCATCTGATTCATCTACTTATCATGGATGTTATCAGCTAGATCTTGAATTCTGTTCACAAGAATATTGCAAACAATGTTCTTTTTCTCCCAACTGCATCTCAGATTTGGAATGAATTGAATCAACGATATGAACAATATAGTGGAGCATTGATTTACCAGATTCAAAAAAATTTGTATTCAATTTCTCAAGGTTACGAAGCTCATGAAGATATGGGACGAATTATGAGTGGTTCAAGATCTTCCAACATGTCCACGTAGTGCAACAACTGCTCTCAACAAATTTCTTGAAGATCAAAAGATTACTCAACTCTTAATGGGGCTTAATGATTCATATACAATATTCGAGGATAGATTCTAATGATGAAACCACTACCTACTTTGTTTACTGCTTATGTTTAAATAGTTCAAGAAGAACAACAAAGAGAAGTCAATGCCTCTCCAGTCGTCAACAATGAAGCAATTGACATGATTTTTTTTTTATATCTCAAACTCTCAAAATTCTAAGAAGAATCTCACATGCACTCACTGCAAGAAAAACAGGTCACACAATGTCTCGGTGTTACAACCTTGTTGGATTTCCCCCAAATTTCAAATTCACAAAAGGCAAAAATGTTGATTATCCTTCTGTTGTTCACACTGTTACTTCGACACCTAACATGAGATTCTCTTCTGAGTAATATCAACAACTACTTTAGCTTTTGAATACAAAATCACTCAATAACCATGCTTCTACATCTCAATTCAACTCTACCATTTCATAAATATCTCTCAATCCTAATAGCAAACCTTTTTCTTTTACACATTTTTGTGCTAATGTCTAAAAATCATCTCATCTTCTTCAAATACATACCTCTTGGATCATAGACTCAGGTGCAAGTGATCATATTATTTATAATCAAACCTTCTTTGTTTCTCTTTAAAAAAAACTTCTTCAGCGGTAATCTCTTATGCTTCTTAATGGTCATGCCACTTTTTTCAGTTACATTGGTAATGTTGAAATTCATGCTTCCATAACACTTCATGGAGTCTTATATGTTCCTGAGACAAAACTGAGACCAATTCTTAGTCAACATCTACCTCAGCATCAGAACAGCCAACCCAAACCTCCTAAGACAAAACTGAGACCAATTCTTAGTCAAATACTTAATTTTATCCAAATTTAACCAAAAGTCAAACCGGTCAAAAAGTCAACATGTCAAAAAGTCAAAGTCCATGGTAGTTGTAACACTCTAAATTTTCAAGCAAATTCTTCATTTTTAAATCACATAAAATCAATATCACATTTTCTCGAAACCCCAAATGTATCAAATGTCAAAGACACAATTCAACAAAACAACTGATAATATCCCAAAATCCTCATCATAGTCTCGAACAGGTGTGTACAATCAAGTCGGCGCCTTCCTGCGATCCTAAGAAGTATCTGAAACACATAACACAAAACACGATAAGCATGAAGCTTAGTGAAATCCCTAAAATACCACATAAACAAATAATAAGCCTCTCAAGGCTATAACTCGGCACGGACCCTCCGGTCTAATGCGTCTCACTGAGGACCCTCCGGTCTCATGGATTGGTATGGACCCCCCGGTCATGTGTCTCAGTGAGGACCCTCTAGTCTCACAGCTCGGGTTGGACCCACTAGTCTTGTATCTCAGTGAAGACCCTCCAGTCTCACAACTCGATTTGGACCCTCCGATCCTAACTCAATAAAACATAGAATAATATAGCATATATCACAAAGACAAAATACATAATATCACATAACTCAGTATAAGCACATATGACCCTCCGGTCACACAGTATTACCACTCAGGTAAGTATAGTGAGAAGACTCACCTCGGAAGTAAGCAAGTAGATCTAGTACCCCACGAATAGTCTAGACTCGGCGTACATAATATAATTATCTCTAATAAGTAATTTGTAATAACCACTCCGAGATGCTAAGCTAACTCCACCAATAAATCTCAAAAGGTTGAAAATACCATTTTACCCCTCCATGGTCTCCAAGGTCCACAGTTGACCAAACCCTAAAAGTCAATGAAAGTTAACGCTTAAGTCAACAGTCCATGTTGACTAAACTCATCGAGTGTATCTATGTGAATCGCGAGTTCCTTCGTTTCCTTTGAAGTATCAGGAAAATCCAACTCAACTCGTTGAGTTGTCTCATCAACTCGCCGAGATGTAGCGCGTCTAGTCCATCGGGGAAAACCCTAGCTGACTCGTCGAGTTGACTCATGCACTCGTCGAGTCCCTCTCGACCAATTCTCATTCAGAAGATTCTAAGCAGAAATAATGTCCCAAACTCTAGATCTAGCCTCTCAAGGCTGAAATACCATGTAAAGCTACAGGCTTTACGTCCATGCATGGCATCTATAGGGTTTAATGCAAAAACAAGCTCCATATAGGGTTTAATGCATAAAAACTTGCCACTAGCTTGATAAAGCTTGGATATTTGGGCTCAAGGGACTACATATGGTCTAGATCTGAAGTCCAATCTCCATGGCAAGCTCAAAACACTCTAGAACTCAAAGGATGGAAAAAGGCCCTAAACTCCCTAGAAACAAGATCTAATCAAACAATAAGCAAGGTAGTGACCTTTTACCTTCAAACAGAAGCTTGGAATGAATGAACACTATATCCAAAAGCTCCATCTCGTCTCAAGCCTTTTGCTCCTCAACTTTCTTCCAAAAATGCACTAAAACACACAATATCAGCCTCTTTTTCTCTCACACAAGGTTATAGCTCGATTAGGGTTTCTCACACAGTGTTAGGGTGATAAGGGAGGCAGAAATGAAGGCTTAAGGTCCTTTAAATTGGACTCAAACCCTGGAAATTAGGGTTTTCTCACTCAGCACCTACTCGTCAAGTTGGGGTCTTCCAACTC